AAGAAATTAACGGAAATGCTTAAGCAGACACGACTCTCCATACAGAGAAGAAATAATTTAAACAGGGAGATTGAAGAAATCGAACAGAGACTGAAGCATTCTTATCAGACTGAAGAAAGGCAACTAGAACAGAAAGCAATTAAAGAAATAAAGAAAAACCCAAATTATTTCTTCACATATGCTAAATCAAAAGCGAAAACCACTGCCAGTATTGGACCTATTCGTATTAGAGAAGGTTCATACACTGAGGATGACAAAGAAATTAGTGAAATCCTAAAAAAGCAGTATGAGGACATGTTTAGCACTCCGATACTCAGCATGAAAGTGGAAGATTCAGACAATTTCTTTATGAATGATACTCAAACACCAGTAAATATAACTGATATCAACACGAGCGTGGCAGATTTTGAAAGAGAAATTGGCAATATGCCCATGCACTCGGCCCCGGGTCCAGACTCATGGAATTCAATATTTATAAAGAAATGCAAAGTGCCGGTAGCACAGGCACTCAGTATAGTGTGGAAGAAGAGCTTGGACACAGGGGAGATACCAGATGCGCTTAAAGCAGCTGACATTGCCCCCTCTACACAAGGGTGGTAGCAAAGCATTGGCAAAGAATTATAGACCAGTTGCACTAACGTCCCACATAATAAAAGTATTTGAGAGAGTGATCAGAAGTCAGGTCACTAGATTCATGGAAACCAATGACCTCCACAATCCAGGCCAACATGGATTTAGAGCAGGAAGATCATGCCTCTCACAGCTACTTGACCACTATGACAAAATCACTGAGGCATTAGAGGAAAAACATAATGCCGATGTCGTGTACACAGATATTGCAAAGGCATTCGACAAATGTGACCATGGAGTGATTGCACACAAAATGAGGTCAATGGGTATAACTGGTAAAGTGGGACGCTGGATAGTCAATTTCCTGTCGAACAGAACACAAAGAGTAACAGTCAATCAAGTAAAATCGAGTCCGAGCGCAGTTAAAAGCTTTGTACCTCAAGGTACAGTCCTTGCTCCACTGCTGTTCCTTATTCTCATATCAGATATAGACAAAAACACAAGTCACAGCTTCGTGTCATCCTTTGCAGATGATACAAAAATCAGCATGAAAACTACCTCTGCTGAAGACATTGATAAACTACAAATAGATATTAACAAAGCTTTCGATTGGGCAGCAGAAAATAACATGATGTTTAACGGTGATAAATTCCAGGTACTCAGATACGGCAAAAATGAGGATCTAAAACATAATACAGGGTACAAAACACAATCGAATCTGCCCATAGTAGGAAAACAGCATGTCAAGGATTTGGGAATAATGATGTCCGACGACCTAACGTTTAGGGAGCATAACCAAGCAAGTATTGCGTCAGCCAGAAAAATGATAGGATGGATTACGAGAATCTTCAAGTCCAGAGATCCCATCACAATGGTTGTACTCTTCAAATCACTTGTGTTGTCCCGTCTTGAGTACTGCTCAGTACTCACTTCCCCCTTCAGAGCAAGAGAGGTTGCTGAAATTGAGGGAATACAGAGAACATATACGGCACGCATAGACGGGATAAAGCACCTAAATTATTGGGATCGTCTCAAAGCTCTCCAAATGTACTCACTAGAAAGGAGACTAGAGAGATACCAAATAATATACTCATGGAAAATACTGGAGGGACAGGTCCCAAATCTGCACAGTAAAATAACAACGTACTGGAGTGAATGATATGGAAGAAAATGCAGAATAGAACCAGTGAAGAGCAGAGGTGCCATGGGCACAATCAGAGAACACTGTATGAACATCAGAGGTCCACGGTTGTTCAACGTGCTACCAGCGAGCATCAGAAATGTTACAGGTACAACCGTGGACATCTTCAAGAGGAAACTAGATTGTTTCCTTCAAGGAGTGCCGGACCAACCGGGCTGCGGTGGGTATGTGGGCCTGCGGGCCGCTCCAAGCAACAGCCTGGTGGACCAAACTCTCACAAGTCACAAGGGCTTGGGGAGTAGAAGAACTCCCAGAACCCCATCAACCAGGTAAGGTGAGCCCATAGTGGACTTACCTGGCACAGGAGTGGGGCTGAAACTGTTCCTCCTCTTGATTGAGTGATTGATAAAGATTAAGCCACCCAAGAGTCTTACTATTATGTTGTTGTTGTTTCAGATTTAGCTACTCAGAACGAAGTGTCCATGTAGCACGGGCTATGGTGAGCCCGTAATTGAGTTCGGTTATTCGCGATAACCTTGTTTCTGTGATATTTGGGTCTAAGTTTAAAATGAAGGAGAGGATTCCTCCTTTTTCCCTGTTTATTTATCGCTTCTGTTTTAGTGCACTGGTTTTTGTCTTGTTTTATTAACATTATCTTGGAGGGGGGATGTAGATGCAGAATGCTCACTAGTGAGTCCCATTCCTCAACGGCTTTTCTAATTATTGTAGTCGCGGTGGAATGTGCATCTAATGCAGCTGCTGTCGTTGGATTAATGTTGAGTTTGATGCGCAGGGCTTCAGTAGCTTCATATTCCAGTAAGTAGTGCAATAGTGGCGCCTCTGCTTCTGTTTCACAGATGTGACACTCTTTAACTATTGGGTTCATTACCTCCCAGCAGCACTTGTAACCAAGTCTGAGTCTGTGTATGGCTACTGCAATGTCTCTGGATATCTTTTTGCCTGGCTTGAAAGAGGAGTAACCAGTGGCTTGTTCGTACCATATTGCAGTGGATCTTCCTTCCACTACTTTGGCTCTGTGACGACTTTTGATAGTTGAGAATATTTTCTTCTTGATTTGTTCCTTAATCTGTGAGAAACTCGGAGGTACTTGAACCTGTACAACAGGTAGAGCAGTGGCAGTTTTTGCTAGTGAGTCTGCCTTTTCATTACCATCTATGCCAATGTGAATTGGTATCCAATTTAGGGTGATTGACAGCCTTAGATTATGGTCTTCTTTTCCTATATGTTGAATTTCTGTGGGGAGTTGTATATTATCTCTGTGCTGACTGGATAACAATGCCTGGAGCGAAAACTTAAAGTCGGTATGTATGATGACATCATGTAAATTATTCTCAATTGTATAGTTTATTGCCTCCTTCAGGGCATATAATTCTGTTTGCAATGTTGAGCACCCACTATTCATGCTCCAGTAAGCTTCATGGTTGGTAGTGTAAACTGCTGCCCCAGCAGAACCTCTTTCTTGGTCAACTGATCCGTCTGTGAAGATGTGAGTTGTTGTAGGTCTTGAGATGGTTTCCATTTGTTTTCCTATTACTTCCTTGAGCCTCTGCGGGTCACATGCTGATTTTTTAATTGGTAATCCTTCAATGATTATCTTTAGATTCGATTCTTCCCATGGAGGAGGCTGCCGAAAGTGTTGATATGATCTATCTTCCTCTTTGTTTTTAATGGTTCATTTCAGGTCCACTTTCTCTAGAATCTTGACCAGATTATCCATACAAGAGCTTGTTCTATATTGGAGGTTTTTCTGAAAGGATCTCTGTATGCTGTCTTTGACAGTCTGGCGGTTGTTCCAATAAGTTTTGCTGCTATGGTGGCTATCCTTTGTTTCATCCTGTTTTCTAATGCTGGTAAATTGGTTCTTCCTGTTAAAGGCATGCTCTTTATATATCTCGTGAATGCCAATAATTGAACACAGTGAGATGTATGCGTTCTCCTGACATATCCCGGATTACACGCAACTCACATTGAAAATTCTTGAACTAGAAGTGCTATAATATATTTTTTCAAAGCATTTTTTTAAGATTTTCGTAATAACTAAGAGCAAGAAGATTTGCCTTAAATATTCTACTGATGTCTTACATTTCTTTGTTTGAATACCAGTAACCCTGACCTTCTCCCAGACTAGTGGCCAGGTTTACTGGTCAATGTTAACTGAGAAGATGCCACATGCTTGTAAGGCTGTAGGAACTCATACAGTTTGGTCCTAAAGCTGTTAACATTTGTTTCGTTTAGGTATTTTAGTACTTTCTCTGCCAAAGTGTTTAATGAAAAGAATTGGTTAGGAAGAACAGGAAGAGAGCGATCTTGTCCCCAGTTACTTGCATCTTACTTGTGAAATAAGACGCATGAAGTTTAGCCTTCATCATTGTACTGGCATTTACAGATCCATCAAGACTGTTAGTGATGATTTGGAGTTATTTGATGTCAGTTCTTGTCGTTCTTTTATGTTGCTCCATCAGGCTTCATTACCCACTGATTGACCCAATATTTTTTTTTTCAGTCCTCGTACCACCTATCAATACTCAAGTTTTGCATTTCTTTCAACCGGTTTCCTAAATATCATAGGGGATCGTATTTCGGTTGTTTGGTAATCTTTTATAGCCATTCCAGGAATCTCTACGTTTCCTCGACTGCAATTCTACACGGATATCCAAAATAGAGTTGATCCCCTAGTTTGTGTATGTAGCATGTTTGAGTAATTTAAGCATTTTGATGTGTCAGTATTGAGACATTAATTCTCATGTCTGGCTTTAAACATATCCTGTGGTTGTATATAGAGTTTCGTAAATAATACACTATGGCAAAGTTTTTATTTAACTAACCTCCCATCATTATCCTGTCCAGAAGTATTCGAAATTTTTTGATGTTTATTTACTGACACATGAAACGCAGTTGGTGTCACGTTAGTTTCAGGTGGAACACCACAGGAATTGCTTGTGACGAAGTCCTGATGTAGCTATGATCAGTTTTACTGTTTGGATATTATTTTCTTGTCCGTATTGGAAATGAAAATATTACCTTTGCTTATCTTATGGATCATATAATTTAAAGTTTTATTACATAATTAAAAATGTATCTTAAAACGTGCCGAATTATATTGGAAAACCTTTCATTGAAACTTCATATAATTTTATTTAGCACCTCGTTTACAGTAATTTAGAAAACGACCAGATGTTCGAAATTTAGCTTGTGAAATTATGGGGAAAGTGGCAGGAAGATAATAACGTGATTCAGGATGTTGTCACAGCCAGGAGATTCATGGTGAAGGTGACGGGTGTCCCTCAGCCAGGCTCCTCACCTCCACTCATACGACCTGAAGGGGTGATGAAGGTACACCTTGATTTAACAGAATGGCGAGATGGGTGTCATTCATTCCACTCGAAATAAAGAGGGATATCAAAAATATATCTACGGTAAATTGTCAGATATAAAGAGAATGGGAACTTTTGCATAAGGTCACGTCTCTTGTACATAAAAAAAACAGAAATACAAATGATTTCCTATCAATTATATTTAAGATTATAAAAATTCACATACGAAGAGTTCAATATTTCTTATGTTTTTCTTCACTGTCGGGGAAAGTTAAAAAAGTAACTCTCCAAAGTTAATTTTCACACATTTATTGTTTGGTCTGACGCATAGGAATGCGTTTTGCAAGGTCACTCCTTGCATTCTCAAAAAATGTAAGGCATGACCTTGCATGAGGGACCTCACTCCTTATTCTCTCTGAGAATGCAAGGAGTGACCTTGCAAAACGCATCTCTAGGCTTCAGACCAAACAATAAAGGTGTGAAAATGAACTTTGGAGAGTTAATTTTTTAACTTTCCCGACAGTGAAGAAAAACATAAGAAATATTTAAAAGATTCGTGTTAGAATCATTAATCTTACCCTTGCGGTCATATTCAGCAACATATACTGGAAACTCTACACCCCAGAATATATAAATATATATATAGATAGGAAAACAAGTTTATATAATACCTTTATGACCATTACAGCCACTATGATTTTAGCCTTGATGGCGAATTCCGCCACCGTTAAATCCACCACTTGGGCCGTCAATATGGATTCCATGACCACCACCGCCTGGTCGAACTGTAGTACGGATCCCATGACCACCCTGGCCCAGACGTAAGGGGTCAGCGCCGACATATGCGGCGAAGACTGCCAGGACCACCAGGAAGAAGAGGGCACGGAAGTGCTGCAGGAGCGAGGTGGAGGGGACAGTACGAGGTTATTGACGGAAATATACGTAAAATAATTATTTATATTCATTTATGCATGGTGCCTAAACATAATGCACTAATTATTTTGTTCTCGGTCATCAACGGTCCCTTGATGTAGTGGTGAGCATTCTGAATACGTGCGCACATGTTCCTCTTTCTCATCTACATTAATGACCTTCCAAATGCCTCCCAACACCTCAAACCAATTCTATTTGCTGACGACACAACCTTCATTTACTCCAGTCCTGATCCCCTTGCTCTAAATGCCACAGTAAATACTGAGCTAAATAAAGTCCATCTGTGGCTAACTGCCATCAAACTCACCCTTAACATTGACAAAACTTTCTATATTCTGTTTGGCAATAAATCCTCTAATCAAATAAATCTCAAAATAAACAATACCCAAATTTGTAACAAATTAGATGGCAAATTCCTTGGCATTCTCATTGACCACAAGCTGAATTTCCAGGGACACATTCTAAACATATCAAAAAAAGTTTCAAAAACTGTGGGCATTCTTTCTAAGATCAGATATTATGTACCACGCCCTGCCCTGGTGACTCTCTATTACTCCCTTATCTATCCATATCTCAACTATGGTATTTGTGCTTGGGGCTCTACTACCCAAAATCACTTACGTCCTCTAATTACTCAACACAAAGCTGCTATTAGCACAATATCCAATTCTGGCCCCAGACATCACTCGGTACCCCTACTCAAATCTCTGAATATGTTAGACATTAAGTCACTGCACATTCTCTCATGTGTATTATACATATATAAAACGCTAAACTATAATGCCAATCCTGATCTCAAAAGCTTCATAGAAGGTTGTAACAGAACCCATGAGCACCACACCAGAAATAAATACAGTTTTGATATTCCTAGAGTACGACTTAATCAAACCAGAAATGCTCTACAAATCAAGGGGCCCAGAATGTGGAATGACCTTCCCAACCATGTTAAAGACTGTACCTCTCTCAACCAGTTTAAGTTAAAAACGAAGCTATACCTAATAAATTCCCTGTATCCTACCTTACCCCTCTGTTGTCAACCCATGTATGTTTTTTTTTGTTTTTTTTTTTTTTCAAATCAACGCTGCTTGAATGTAATTTTCTGAAATAATTTGTAATTGTATTTGTGCTGCTTTTTCAACAATGTTCCCCCCTCTTTTACCTCTATTTTTATTTGTACTCAACACATTTTATTCTTTTTACCCATTAGTTTTAAGCTTTAGTCATTAGTGTTTTTTCCTGCCCGAAACGCTTTGCGTAATAGTGGCTTTAGGCATTGTATGTACTAGCTCTATCTATAAAGCCAACAAACTTTGTAAAATCTCTTTATGTATGTACCTTTACCTAAATAAAAATTATTATTATTATTATTATTCTTACGAATGCTCGCCCGCACCTTACGAATGTTCTGGTCTGGTTCGAGTCTTGGCCAGAGAGGATTGACTAGACATCAGTCCTTAACTGTTCTCCTCTGTTCATCCAGCGGTAACTAGGTACCTGGTTGTTAACTGACTGGCGGGTCGTGTCCAAGGAAAGATAGTGGTACGTGCATAGTAAGTGGATAGTGGTGCATAAGGGAATTGTGTAAAACCCCGGTTTGTGTTTCGGAGAGGCTGCGGGATCCGTGTGAGAACAGTAGCACTCCTGGTTGCAATTCTTTTACCATGTCGTGGCGCAATCGACTAAGGCGCGTCTGGGATCATCCCGGACGTAAGTTCGAACCCTCATCACAGCCCTTGTGGATTTGTTCATAGTGGTAAGGCCTACTACCATGAGGCATGGGAAGGGAAAGCTCTCGGCCTGCTAACAGGAGTCACAAGTGACGTGTTCCTGTGGTCAAATGTGACAAAGGAAAAAGAAAGAGAAATATGTCGAGTGTGTGTGTGTAAGCTCGAAGCTTCGCTTTCCATCCTTCGTGGTTACTTAGGAATCAATGAAACACGATAATATCAATCTTCCTGCTGTCCTACCTACGGAAAGTCTTCCTTTACCAACAGTATTAAAACAAATTGTTATTATGTAACATTAAAACTGAGCAGTGCATTAGTTATTTTTGACCCCAAAGATTGGCCTTTCAACCCCACTGGGCATCATAATAGTCAAGTGAAGGCACTAAATAAGCCTTTACAAGAAGCTGGAGGTAATCTATATGCTAAAATGGATTTTTATTAAAAAAAATTTGACCAGCGTTACGATATGTATTAATTGCGTGCTCCAACACGGCCGTACTACAATATGTAACTACAGACACAACTGTTAGTGGGAGGATTCTTACCATGATGAAGATGTGAGGACAACTGCCCCTCGGATCCGTACCCAAGCATATATAGGGACCTCATCCAGGGGCGGCGCGCGCACCAACCCGCACACCTTTCCACCAGTCACCTCCGTCAACTTTGTAAAGGGCGGAAGGACTAACCGTTATGTGCATCCCTGGAACTGTTTATTTTTGACCGCACTCCGCAGAACCTTCGACGCCCACCAGCATACAAGCACACCTTCACTAACACACCCCTAACCAAGACACCACCCACCAACACACACCCCACCAACACACCACCCACCAACACACCCCTCACCAACACACCCCTCACCATCACACCCCTCACCAACACACCCCTCACCAACACACCCCTCACCAACATACTCCTCACCAACACACCCCTCACCAACACACCCCTCACCAACACACCCCTCACCAACACATACCCCACCAACACACCACCTACCAACACACCCCTCACCAACACACCCCTCACCAACACATACCCCACCAACACACCACCTACCAACACACCCCTCACCAACACACCCCTCACTGACACACCAACCACCAACACACCAACCACCAACACACCCCTCACCAACACACCCCTCACTGACACACCAACCACCAACACACCAACCACCAACACACCCCTCACCAACACACCACCCACCAACACACCACCCACCAACACTCAACCGACAAACACACCACCCATCAATACACCCCTCACCAACACACCACCGACAACCACACCTTGACACTTGTTGGAGACGTTCTCATAGTTGAAACACTTGTAGCACTGTCTCACGTTGTAGACCTTCTCCATGGCAATCTGGTTTTGGGAGGAGATGATTCCAAAGCACTTAAAAACCGTTCTTCACAGCTTCCTGGGCCTGTTCTGCTGTTTCGAAGGTTATCTTCATCGTGGGCAGAGTGGCATCGTTCGTCTTGATGAGAAGATCTATCGTCGCTTTCAGAGTAGGGTTTTCTTCGTTCACTTGTTGCACTATGGTGTCGGGTACCTCACCCGCTAACCAGCAGTTCAGCCTGTTCACAAATATCGTTTTCCCGGCAGTGATTTGTTTGGGAGGAATTGGTGAGAGGTTCGTCTTCAGTAGTGGGACCCGCTGATCAGATCTTCTGGCGATCACTTTTTGTTGCCACGATCACCGTGGCCACGTTACCATGCATATGGACGTCTACTGGTCACACTGTTGTTGCGTTATCAGTGGCAGTTGGAATTTCACACTTAGAGCGCTTGTAGACTCCGAGGAGTCGCACTTTCACTTTGTATGTCATATTATCTGACGGATTGTCAGGAGAACCTGGAGTGTAGAGTGGTTTGCCGGCAGCTGTGTGGGAACACAATTTGCCAGCAGGAGAGGTGTGTGTGAGTGATGAGGTTACAAATTGATTGAATGACTGATGAAGATTAAGCCACCCAAGGCTTTATCAAGGTGGGCCCACCTGAGTCGGCGGGCCCACCTGAGTCAGCAGGCCCCAGCAAATAAAGCAAATGCTCAACCCCTCTTTTCGTGGTGATGCGCAAGGTCTCATTCTGGAGCTCACAAGATTTTACAACATATGCGTGGCTGGTGGTGTACCTGAGGTCATCAGGCCCCCTCATTGTTTATGCTTCCATCTGTGCACTTGGTAAGGAGGGATGAATCAGGCTATCATTGCTTGGCAACCCTTTATACGATGCCCTAAACGAGGATAGTCAACCAGCAAGAGGACAACATCCTGGAACTAAATCAGCTTGGCTTTGAGATCCCCCAAGGATGAGTTGCATCTGCTCATGCAGCACGAGTGTACATTGTCAACATCTCTGAACAAACAGGACTTTAAAATTGCCTTTGACATGTTAACATGATGCGGTATTCAAACTTGTGTCCTTAATACCATTTTCCTCCTCTGTATTCATTCATATTATTATGCTACATAAGCGATTCAAAGTTACTATTTGGTGAACAAGAAATGAGTTCTTGTGAAGGTGTCCAGAAAGCTGATCCCCTTGCGCCTGTTCTTTTCCGTTTAGTCACCAAAATGTCACTGAAAGTTTATCTTATGAGTTCAATATGTGATTCTTGGACGATGACAGCATCTGGTAAGTCAGCTCTTACTGCAACTGTGATTGGCTGTTTAGATTGCACTGTATAAACCCATAGCACTTTGATGGGTTTAGGGTGAGTCCTAACTCCTCTGCTTTAGATGTCCTCAGCTTTAGATTCCCTGGAAGGGACTCCTGTGTCCCTGCCAGTGTGACATCATCCAAGGGCAATAAAACTTAGGACTCAAACACGGCCCTAAGTTTTTTTTATTATTTACTAGGACTCAGTTATTTATATTTTTTATTACATTGTGTTACAGCTTAGAACATTCATACACACAGAGAATGTATGTCTGTATGTCTAAAGTTGGAGGACAGAAGCTTGGGGCTAGCCTCACCCAAACTGGCAGAGGGAGTGATCTGGGGTACGGAATGAACAGAGGTTGGTCGGAATTGCCAGAATTAAAAAGGGAACAGCGTTTCAGGGCCACATTCCTACCACCACGACTATTTCTGGCACTGCCCGCCTCCTACACATCTAAATATCTTCAGTACAAATCCTACAAAACATTTTTCTTATATTAATATACACCACTGATCCTGTCAACATTTTCAAAGACATAACAGTTGTGAAAATTAATTTATTTAAAGCAACCGAATATATAACCAAGCATGAAGTAATATGTTGCATTGGCCAATAAGCCCATTGCAGCCTTCCTACGTTCTTATGATGGCTGGGGCAGTATGCTGGGTATTCTGTCTTGGTCTTGATGATGGTACAATATAACACACTCTCAACAGTTGACTGCTGTCAGTGTGTTGAGTTTGTATGATATTTAGTGCTGCGCCGAATATTTCAGTGTTGTTTATCAGTATATTTGTAGTGATGTCAGTATGTACCAGAATATATCACGTGTGTTAGCATGTATCACTGATGTTCGTTAACATGTATCATAAATATCGGTTTGTATGACGAATGTTAGCATGTTTCAATATATGGTAAATATTGATAGGTATGTATCACCTCTCAAATACGGGCTCCAAAAGGCGAGACCGTCATACTACCAACCAGGCCATGTGCACTCACAATAAGGAGTGATCTTATAGATCACGCCTTCTTGTGAGGGTTGAAAGTTGAAGTGAGAGAGTGAAGGAATGAGGAGTGAAGGAATGAGGAGTGAAGGTTGAAGCTTCAACCTTCCCTAGAGTTGAAACTAAAATGTTTGGAGGAATTTCTATCTCCTTCGCCCATGACGTCTAAACTTAAAATCACAATAGCGTGGAAAATAACATTTCATTCACATAGACCTTCGTAGACTCGAACACGGCCCTAAGATTTGTTAATTTTATTTGTTAGAATACAGTTATTTATATTTTTTTATTACTTTGTGTTACAGCTTACAACATTCATACATACATTGCAACAACTGTTCAAAACCTCACCCAAGTCTGCAGAGATGGAGATCGTCCATTGGATTTTGTTTTGTTTTGAGATATATACAAGAGTTGTTACATTCTTGTACAGCCACTAGTATCAAATCAAATCAAATGTTTATTTAGGTAAGGTACATACATACAAGAGATTTTACAAAGAGTGATGGATTTATAGATAGGGCTAGTACATACAATGCCTAAAGCCACTATTACGCAAAGCGTTTCGGGCATGAAAAACTTAAATGACTAAAGCTTAATACTAATTGAGCTTAATACTAATATCAATTAAACTTTAAGCTAGCGTTTCGGGCAGGTCCCTGGAATACGATCCCCGCCGCGAAGAATCGTTTTTACAACCAAGTACACATTTTACTGTTGAGTTAAACAGAGGGTACAGTTAAGGATTTGCGCCCAGTAAATCCTCTCCGGCCAGGATACGAACCCATAACAAAGCGCTCGCGGAACGCCAGGCGAGTGTCTTATCACTACACCACGAAGACTGCCTGTTCAAGTTCCAAATGTTCAAGATGTTCAAGTTCAAGATGTCCATCATGTTCATGTTCTTCAAGAGAGAGGTTTAACCCTTTCATGGATATTGCTTTCCATGAAAAGCAATTTCGGACTATCGAAAGAGAATGCACACTGAAGGAAATTGGTAACGTGGTCAATGTCGGGCATGTTGTGAGAGGTACAAAGTACGTTGTGAGGTACAAAGTACGTTGTGATAGGTACGTGGGGCACCCCTAAAGTCATATTCTTTCTTCTATCCTCCTCGTGTCGTTCAGCTTTCCCTGGGAGGTTTCATCAATAGCATTCGAGGCTAACAGTGTATCGAGGCACTTTGTAAAGCGGATCTTACTGTCTCTATGAATGGTTGGCTTAATGAAATGATTTCGCACATTTAACATTTTAGTTCGAGTTTTATCTTCACTCCCTTAAGAAAAGGGATTTCTCAGTGATATATATCACACCACTGTGAATTTTTGTGTGCCTTTCCCTAAGGTTTCACAAGCTGCAGATTCTACAGCAGAGTGCCATCATGCAGGAGGTGCTACATCAGAGTGCCATCATGCAGGAGGTGCTACAGCAGAGTGCCATCATGCAGGAGATGCTACAGCAGAGTGCCATCATTCAGGAGATGCTACAGCAGAGTGCCATCATGCAGGAGATGCTACAGCAGAGTGCCATCATGCAGGAGGTGCTACAGCAGAGTGCCATCATGCAGGAGATGCTACAGCAGAGTGCCATCATGCAGGAGATGCTACAGCAGAGTGCCATCATGCAGGAGGTGCTACAGCAGAGTGCCATCATGCAGGAGATGCTACAGCAGAGTGCCATCATGCAGGAGATGCTACAGCAGAGTGCCATCATACAGGAGATGCTACAGCAGAGTGCCATCATGCAGGAGATGCTACAATAGGGGTGCCATCATGCAATAGATGCTACAGCAGAGTGCCATCATGCAGGAATAAGATGTTGAGCTCGCTATTGGACCTGTTTGTGCTCTCCCAGCAGCCAAGCATAAATGAAAAAGAGCAAGGGGAGACCCTTGCTAAATTTACATCCTTCTCCCCAAACAAATATCAGTTAATCATTGTATCCAACATAAACGAAGGGGAGGAGACAAGATATGTTTCTTCGAACTTCTTACACCACACTTCTTTTTTACCAGGTTGAAAGAATGTTTAAAATCAAGTTTGATTATTGCTCTGTTTTCGGGAAGGTCATCGATATAGGCTGTTGCTGATGAGTTGGTGCTTGCCTGCCACGGAGATTACCAGAGCCCCGCTGATGGGTCGAAGCGCTGTGGCAGCTACTGCACGGATAATATATAAATAAATATCATTAAGGTTTTATCCATTAAACGTCCATTTTTTTATATTAACTAACGAATAATAAAAGATGTGCTGGATACGTGTCAATATCACTGAAGGTTGCCGGAGGTTACCACAAGCGTTGCCCTGACGTGTGTGTGGCCACTGGCGCCTCCACACGCCCCGTACCTGGACTTCTGTCCGGTCATCTTTGCAAACAGTCAGCAAAAAGAAGGAAAAGTCGGACCTAAAATACCTGGAACTGCTGCAATGTTTGCTCCTTCGTCGTCGGCGATGCATATTGAAACACATTGTGATGTTGCCTTGTACAGTCGCCCTGACCTGGGACGCAGTGTTGACATATAGCTTGTGTATCCCTTCTGCCACTGACATCTGCCACTGACATCTGCCACTGACATCTGCCACTGACATCTGCCACTGACATCTACCACTGACATCTGTGCTGCATCTATCACACGTGTCCTGAGAGCGAATTGTCATATTTGAGTACACTAATTGTTATCGCATCTGTCGCACAGCATACATACATCATTTTGTACATGACAAAATATAAATAATTTTGTTCTGATCATGTTCTTCAAATAGACTGAGTAAATAATTAATTCAGACGGATAAATTATACGTTTACCACTTATGCCTTTTTGATCAGGTTTCTTTCCTTCTGATCCTATGTCAATTATATTGTCTCCTTCCAGGAATAAATAGCCGCTAGTGCTTCCATCCAGAATTATATATCCTGCAGCCTCACCGCTGCTCTGTAGAGTCGCTATTCAGTTATACAAAACCTGTAGAGTCGCTGTCAATAAATATATAACCTGTAGAGTCGCTGTCAATAAATATATAACCTGTAGAGTCGCTGTCAAGAAATATATAACCTGTAGAGTCGCTGTCAAGAAATATATAACCTGTAGAGTCGCTGTCAAGAAATATATAGCCTGTAGAGTCGCTGTCAAGAAATATATAGCCTGTAGAGTCGCTGTCAAGAAATATATAGCCTGTAGAGTCTTTTTCTAGCATCATGTATTGCCTTCCTACACTACAGGCCATGTATTACCTTCCTACACTACAGGCCATGTATTGCCTTCCTACACTACAGGCCATGTATTACCTTCCTACACTACAGGCCATGTATTGCCTTCCTACACTACAGGCCATGTATTACCTTCCTACACTACAGGCCATGTATTACCTTCCTACACTACAGGCCATGTATTACCTTCCTACACTACAGGCCATGTATTGCCTTCCTACACTACAGGCCATGTATTGCCTTCCTACACTACAGGCCATGTATTACCTTCCTACACTACAGGCCATGTATTACCTTCCTACACTACAGGCCATGTATTGCCTTCCTACACTACAGGCCATGTATTACCTTCCTACACTACAGGCCATGTATTGCCTTCCTACACTACAGGCCATGTATTACTTTCCTACACTACAGGCCATGTATTACCTTCCTACACTACAGGCCATGTATTGCCTTCCTACACTACAGGCCATGTATTACCTTCCTACACTACAGGCCATGTATTGCCTTCCTACACTACAGGCCATGTATTACCTTCCTACACTACAGGCCATGTATTACCTTCCTACACTACAGGCCATGTATTACCTTCCTACACTACAGGCCATGTATTACCTTCCTACACTACAGGCCATGTATTACCTTCCTACACTACAGGCCATGTATTGCCTTCCTACACTACAGGCCATGTATTACCTTCCTACACTACAGGCCATGGCTCTTTGGTCCCGCCTCTTAACTGTCAATCAACTGGTGTACAGGTTCCTGAGCCTACTGGGGTCTATCATATCTACACTTGAAACTGTGTATGGAGTCTGCCTCAACCACATCACTTCCTAATGCATTCCATTTGTCAACTACTCTGACACTGAAAAAAATTCTTTCTAATGTCTCTATGGCTAATTTCGGAACTCAGTTTCCACCTGAGTTCCCTGGTGCGTGTGCCCCTTGTGTTAAATAGTTTGTCTTTATCTGCCCTATTAATTCCTCTTAGAATCTTGTATGTGGTGATCATGTCCTCTCCAACTCTTCTGTCTCCCAGTGACTTGAGGTTTAATTCTCGTAGTCTCTCCTCGCAGCTCATACCCCTCAGTTCGGGTACTAGTCTGGTGGCAAACCTTTGAACCTTTTCCAGTTTAGTTTTATGCTTGACTAGATATGGACTCCATGCTTGAGCTGCATACTCCAGGATTGGTCTGCCATATGTGGTATACAAAGTTCTGTAAGATTCCATACACAAGTTTCTAAAGGCCGTTTATATGTTAGCTAACCTGGCATATGCCTCTGATGTTATTCTTCTTGATAATGGGCTTCAGGGGACAGGTCTGGCGTGATATCAACCCCCAGGTCTTTCTCTCTCTCTGACTCTTGAAGTATTTCATCTCGCAAATGATACCTTGTATCTGGTCTCCTGCACCCTACACCTATTTTCATTTCATTACATTTGCTTGGGTTAAACTCTAACAACCATTTGTTCGACCATTTCTGCAACTGGTCCATATCATCTTGAAGCCTCAAGCCTCTTCTGTTTTAATCCTTCACATAATTTTGTCGTCGTCAGCAAACATTGAGATTAATGAGTCTATACCCTCCGGGAGATTATTTACGAATATCAGAAACAGGATAGGTGCGAGTATTGAGCCCTGTGGGACTCCACTGGTGACTTCATTCCAATCAGAGGTCTCATCTCTGCTCTGCGTGTGTGTGTGTGTGTGTGTGTGTGTGTGTGTGTGTGTGTGTGTGTGTGTGTGTGTGTGTGTGTGTGTGTGTGTGTGTGTGTGTGTGTGTGTGTGTGTGTGTGTGTGTGTGTGTGTGTGTGTGTGTGTGTGTGTGCGTGTGTGTGTGTACTTGCCTAATTTACCTAATTGTACTTACTTAATTGTGCTTGCGGGGGTTGAGCTCTGGCTCTTTGGTCCCGCCTCTCAACTGTCAATCAACTAATGTACAGGTTCCTGAGCCTACTGGGCTCTATCATATCTACACTTGATGCTGTGTATGGAGTCAGCCACCACCACATCACCTCCTGATGCATTCCATTTGTCTACTACTCTGACATTGAAAAAAAGGGGAGAGAGAGACACACACACACGCACACACGTTTCTGTGTGTGTGTGGGGTTGGGGGTTAAAAAAATTGTCTCTCTTATATTTGATATTACTTGATTTATTACAATTCATAAAAAACGAACAATAACAAGATAAAATACTAATAAAAACAAATTAAGTGTTTAGTTTGCAATAATTTAATGAACATCATTTGGCTTGTGACAAAATATTCCATCAATTGGCAGGAAGATAATGAGATGATTCAGGATGTTGTCACAGTAGAGGTGACGAGCGTCCCTCAGCCAGGCTCCTCACCTCTCCGCACACGACCTGAAGGTGGGATACAAAACCATCGATGAACGGACTTCCTCTTAAAATGTACCAATTTGGGCGATTTTAACATTTGTAACCTTAAAGCATCGATATCACTCTATATATAAAATATTTACTTATTGTCGTATTGCATCAGCATTACCTTTTTGCGGCATAGTAACTAACAGTGCCTTTTGCGGCACACAAAGCATCAAGAATGGCTCTCTCTCTCTCAAACACGTACACACATTCCAGTAAACACACACACTACCCCCCCCCCAACGCATTCACATATTAAACTCACGCCCAACCACCTCCAAACACGTACACACTACATTCTCGTATAAAAAAACATACACAAAACACACGCAATAACACACTACTTTCCTCCCAACAAACACACACACATGCACACACGCACTACTCACCTCCCAACACACACACGCACGTAAACACTACTCTGCCCCCAACTCTCACGCAAGCACACGCTACTATCCCTTAAAACACACATGCATGACCATATTACTCTCCCCCCCCCCCAACACACACACCGGGGGGGGGGGGTGGAATCTGGTAGCTGAGCAGCGCAAGACTCGTAATTCTGTGTTCAAGTTCGATTCCCGGCAGGCAGAAACAAATGGGTAAAGTTTCTTTTAACCCTGATGCCCCTGTTACCTAGCAGTAAATAGGTACCTGGGTGTTAGACAGCTGTTACGGAGCTGCTTCCTGGGTGTGTGTGTGGAAAAAAAAATTAGTAGTTAGGTACAGTTGATTGATTGACAGTTGAGAGGCGGGCCGGAAGAGCAGAGCTCAACCCCCGAAAAAACAACTAGGTGAATACACACACACGCACACACATACTATTCTCCCAACACTAGGCTACTCCCAGAACTAAGAGGCATGAGTTACGAGGAAAGGCTGCGTGAAATGAACCTCACGACACTGGAAGACAGAAGAGTGAGGGGAGATATGATCACTACCTACGAAATTCTCGGATGAATTGACAGGGTAGATAAGAATAAACTGTTTAACACGGGGGGGGGGGGAAGTTACGCGAACAAGGGGACACTTGTGGAAACTGAGTACCCAAATGAGCCACAGGGACGTTAGAAAGAACTTTTTCAGTGTCAGTGTAGTTAGTAAACGGGATGCACTAGAAAGTGATGTAGCGGAGGCTGACTCCATACACAGTTTCAAATATAGATATGATGGAGCTTGAGAAACTCAGGAATCTGTACACCAGTAGATTGGCGGTTGAGGCGCAGGACCAAAGAGCCAAAGCTCAACCCCCGCAAGCGCAACTAGGTGAGTACAACTAGATGAGTACACACACACACAAGAAGGGCTCGGAGAGACATGAACACAACATACAAAATTCTCAGGGGGAATTGACAGGGTAGACACTAATATATATGTGTCTATATTTTGTAAATGAAATGTCTGTCTTTCTGTTCGAGATTGGAGGCCAGATTAGTGGGGCTTCGCTCGTTTTTTCCATTAATTGCTGTTGAGTACGAGCTCAACATGGGCATGTACCCATGTTCGGCTCGTACAACAATTACAAACATACAACAACAATTACTGTCACACACAACAAAATCTCACAATAGTATGTGACTCGACTCTGAATTATTTTTATTATTTATTTTGGTCTTAACGAAAACTGTATGTGCTGGTCACTCCAAAATTTAAAAACCAGAAGATTGAACTAATAATATATTATAAGAGCAAGACGACTACCAACTTGGTTATGAAGAACTCTCATGACAACAAACAAACCCCCTTCAAAGAGACAAATGTTGTCTATGCTTTCACATACCCACATGGGGGAGAATCAATCCCAACGAATTCAATATATAAACATCACAACAACATCCCTTTCAAGACGCCTAACAATGCATAAGCAGCAAGGACCTATAAAAGAACATATAATCTCTATACATAACCAGACCATCACCAGAGATATTCTCACAAACAACACCAAAATAATCGACAGGTACAGCGACAACAGAAGACTGGAGCCAACATACATAAAGCGAACCAAGTCATGTATCAGTAGACACCTACCAACAAATTACACTCTGAAAATGTTCAGAACACGACATTATATATATATATATATATATATATATATATATATATATATATATATATATATATATATATATATATATATATATATATATATATATATATATTTTTTTTTTTTTTTTTTTTTTTTTCTTCTATAATTACCTTTATGATCACTACAGCTATAAGGTTACTAGCCATCCGCGTGAATTCCTCCACCGTTAAATCCACCACTAGGACCGTCGAGTTGGATCCCACCACCATTAGCCCCTGGACGAGTGGTGGTTGATCGGATCCCACCACCATTGGCCCCTGGACGGATGGTGGTTGACCGGATGCCACCTCCATTAGCCCCTGGACGGGTGGTGGTTGACCGGATGCCACCACCATTGAAGCCTCCGCTAGGGCCGTCAAGGTGGACGCCATGGCCATCCTGGCCAAGGCGGGAGAGGTCCGCGCCGACGCAGATTGCGATGACGGACATGGATGCCAGGAGGATGAGAGCGTGCTTGACCTGAAGGAGCGAGATGAACGAAAATGATCTGAATGAGAATGTGATTTGAAATGCAAATAAAATCTTTTATATTACCAAATGTGTGCATGTAATAAAAACATTAATGGTTAATTCCAGGAAGCCGCCCATATCCCAGTTAAATTCGGCAAAACAATTAGATAATAAAAGAGCTTTGATTTTTCTGCAATTTTGTCTACTTAAATATATATGGATAAATATATCAGGCAAACATGAAATAATTTAGAATCGGTCCTGATTTTCCTAACTGATGAGAATAAAAAAAAGTTATATGTTTATGTTGATTGAATAACTGAACAGCGATTCTAAAATTAATTGTGAAACAACAATATAATAATAAACAGCATAATACACAGAGAGGAACCTCCCTAACGCAATATATCAATGAGAAAATGCGTAGGAGCCCTGATGAGGATTCGAACCTATGCGCTGGGCGTTCCCACGCACACGCTCTAGACGCCTAGTCCACGACATGGTAAAAGGATGTCAGTAGAACTCCAGGTTGCAATCCTTTTACCATGTCGTGGCCTAGTTGTCTAGGGTGTGTGCCTGGGAACACCCACCGAATAGGTTCGAATCCTCATCACGGCTTCTACGGATTTTTTTCTAATAGCATAATATTAGAGTGGCTACATATATATAGGCCATCTTTCAAGGGTTTTATGCAGATAGGGTCCCAGTCGTACAGTCACGTTCGATAAGACTCACAACTGGGAATTCCGAGTTCGAATCCCAGGCTGGAGAGAAATATTTGACATAACCACAACAAACCAGTCAGTTTGTTGTGGGTTTGCATCCTTTGGAATGTCAGAAGTTCGACCTTGAGTGGGGATATATATATATATATATATATATATATATATATATATATATATATATATATATATATATATATATATATATATATATATATATATATATATATATATATATATATATATATATATATATGTCGTACCTAATAGCCAGAACGCACTTCTCGGCTTACTATGCAAGGCTCGATTTGCCTAATAAGCCAAGTTTTCCTGAATTAATATATTTTTTTAACGTTTTTCTTATGAAATGATAAAGCTACCCATGACATTACGTATGAGGTCAATTTTTTTTAATTGGAGTTAAAATTAACGTAGATATATGACCGAACCTAACCAACCCTACCTAACCTAACCTAACCTATCTTTATAGGTTAGGTTAGGTTAGGTAGCAGAAAAAGTTAGGTTAGGTTAGGTTAGGTAGGTTAGGTAGACGAAAAACAATTAATTCATGAAACTTGGCTTATTAGGTAAATCGGGCCTTGCATAGTAGGCATAGAAGTGAGTTCTGGCTACTAGGTACGACATATATATATATATATATATATATATATATATATATGTCGTACCTAGTAGCCAGAACTCACTTCTCAGCCTACTATACAAGGCCCGATTTGCCTAATAAGCCAAGTTTTCCTAAATTAATATATTTTCTCTATTTTTTTCTTATGAAATGATAAAGCTACCCATTTCATTATGTATGAGGTCAATTTTTTTTATTTGAGTTAAAATTAACGTAGATATATGACCGAACCTAACCAACCCTACCTAATCTAACCTAACCTATCTTTATAGGTTAGGTTAGGTTAGGTAGCCGAAAAAGTTAGGTTAGGTTAGGTTAGGTAGGTTAGGTTGTCGAAAAACAATTAATTCATGAAAACTTGGCTTATTAGGCAAATCGGGCCTTGCATAGTAGGCTGAGAAGTGAGTTCTGGCTACTAGGTACGACATATATATATATATATATATATATATATATATATATATATATATATATATATATATATATATATATATATATATATATATATATATATATATATATATATATATATATAGGCTGCCTGAATCGACAAAATGAATTATATTTATCGTTATTATAAAGACAATATTGTGAGCGTCATTATACTCACTGCCAAACGTATTATGTCATCAGGAGTTATCTGGCAACCTGGATCAAATTTAATTTGAAAGATCAACCAATCTTCTAGGAATCTGAATTGTCCCGGCTTTGGTTGCGTGTAGCCAAGTTCGGGGCAGAAATTCGTAAATAATAATGTCAAATACCTGGCTAGGAAATTCCCTGCTGACTAAAATATTTTAGCAAAAAAGAAGAACCGCACATTGTGTTACCTATTAGTTGGTAATATGTTAACTACCAAGAAATTTTTAGATTTACATGCCAAAGTTAGATAAGTTACTAGTTAAGATCAAAACAGCCTCAAATGACCTCTTGAGTGATCATTATTGGACCCTCAGTTTATAAACAAAAAAAATCCTCCTATGAAGTAGATTAATTACTTCTGAGGGAAAGCCACAAACTTTATACTTTAAACTAAACACTAATTCACATGGAACAAATTTTTATTATTATTATTATTATTATTAGTATTATTATTATTATTATTATTATTATTATTATTATTATTATTGTGTAAACAAGCCATTTAAAGCATGTAATAGTAATTTTTTGTTTTGGCTTTTCGCATCAGCCTGTCAGCCAAATTTTGTCTCCAGGTAAAGCTTATCAATCCAATAATAAATGGTCACTGGGATGGAGTGAATCCGTCAATCAGGTTGATATTATCCACTTTTAAATTAGCTCATTGATTATGTTTTAGTTATTGACTACTAGAAGCGATCGTAACCGTCCAATAGTTTGTAATTTTTGTTAGTGATAGCAAGCTTACTATTTCACTAGCTTCTCTCTGTCCATAGAATGGAGCAGTATGTTACACTAACTTGTTATTGGACCCTGAGGGGGGAACTGATCAGTACACCAGCTTGTAACTAAGAAGTATCACATGATGTTACTAAATAAACATTTATAGCATGCGTATAGTTAAATGCTACATATGATTAATAACATATTTGATTCAAAAATAAAATAAAATACATTTTTCAATTCTAACTTGCTATTTACAACTTCAAACAACACAGTTGTACTACAGTATGCAATTAATTTCTAAAGAAATAAATCTAGCTTTTTCCACCCGTCTATTATACTTGCATGTAACTATTCACATGTAACTACAGCTCAAATTATTGGAGAGAGGATTCTTACCATAGTGATGATGCGAGGACAACTGCCCCTCGGCTCCGTATCCAAGCATATATAGGGACCTCCTCCAGGGGCGGCGCGCGCATCAACCCGCACACCTTTCCACCAGTCACCTTCGTCAACAGTCGACTTCATAAAAGGCGGAAGGACTAATTGCTATGTACATCCCTGGAACTCTGGATGTCTGCGTACGCCTCTGCCAAACAAGAAACCACCCATCACTTTTGCTTCAGTACAATTCTACATATTTACCAGCTCTTTCCACATAGAGTGTACACACACACACACACACACACACATATATATATATATATATATATATATATATATATATATATATATATATATATATATATATATATATATAGTTGGTATGGGACTACATGTGCGTATCAACCCTGGCTAACACCTACATTAACCTCAGTGTTGCACAACCAGGTGGCGCTGCCACCCACAGGGAAGCAGCCAAATCCCGTAAGTATAGAGAACTGGATCACCACTACAATTTTGTCCCCATTGCTTCTGAGACACTCGGTGCCTGGGGTAAAAGTGCTACCAGTTTTTTGAAGGAACTGGGTTCTAGGCTCATTGAAACAACAAGGGACCCTAGAGCTGCCAGCTTTCTTTTCCAGCGCCTCAGCGTGGCGATACAGAGGGAAAATGCGCACTGCATCCAGGGTTCCTGCCCGCCATCTGAGGAGCTGGAGGAACTCGACAACCTATGATAACCATCTTTGTAACCTATATGTAACTCCTTTTTGTAACAAAGTTCAAATAAAGCAAATATAAATATATATATATATATATATATATATATATATATATATATATATATATATATATATATATATATATATACTGGCAGCAGGTTTTCTTTCAAACATGTTTCATATATTCTGTATTTATTATTTTCTGGTTTAGGGCTATCAGGGCTTAATTGGAATAGGAGTTCTCCAAAACTCATTTTCGTATTTTATATATATATATACACTTATATAAATATTGTAATACCTGTACTTAAGGAAATTCCTGTTTCATTTTTCCTCCGTGGTCTGACATTGTCACATTCTTAATCACGTGTTTATTTTCGTGATATACACACACACACATATATATATATATATATATATATATATATATATATATATATATATATATATATATATATATATATATATATATATATATATATATATATACATATACATAAAAAGGAAGGTGAAACGCCATGCAACCTCTGTGAAGAGTCAACTAACACAACACCTGTACCCCCTATTAGACTATTTTACAGGAACTTCTTTTCCACAGCTCATAAAACGGAGGAAAGGGTCCTGAAAGATATTGTTAATAGGAACGTTATCCCTACAGACAAAAATCAGAAGATACAATTGATGATTTACTATAAAACCAAAAAAAAAACGGCCAAGCTACTCATGAAAACTCTCCATACACAAAGCAGAACGCTTTAAAAGAGACCAACGTCGTCTATGCCTTCAAATGCCCACTTGGGGTCTGTAAGCCCCAAAGAACTCAGTATATAGGCAAGACAACAACATCTCTTTCCAGGCGATTAACAATGCATAAGCAACAGGGCTCCATTAAGGCACACTCTTGGAATATCAAATACGTATTTGTTTCTGATGTGGTGTCTATGGGTTCTGTTACAACCTTCTAGGAAGCGTTTAAGGTCAGGATTGCTATTCAGAGTTTTAAATATACAGAGTACACATAAGAGGATGAGCAGTGACTTAATATCTAACATATTAAAAGATTTAAGTAAGGGTAACGAGTGCTGTCTGGGGCCAGAGTTTGATATTGTTCTAATTGCAGCTTTGTGCTAAGTAATTAGAGGACGTAGATGATTTTGGGTAGTAGAACCCCAAGCACAAATACCATAATTGAGATTAGGATAGATGATAAAGTAATAGAGCGTCACCAAGGCAGGGCGAGGTACATAATATCTTGATCTTAGAAAGAATACCAACAGTTTTAGAAACTTGTTTTGCTATATTTAGAATGTGACCCTGGAAATTCAACTTGTTATCGATGAGGAAACCAAGGAATTTATCATCTACTTTGTTACTGATTTGGATATTGTTATTCTTAGATTAATTTGATCTGAGGATTTATTACCAAGCAAAATATAGAAAGTTTTGTCGATGTTAAGGGTGAGTTTGTTAGCAGTTAGCCAAAGATGGATTTTATTTTGCTCAGTATTCACTGTGACACTTAGAGCAAGAGGGTCAAGTCTGGGGAAAATGAAGGTTGTGTCATCAGCAAATAAAATTGGTTTGAGGTGTTGAGAGGCATGTGGAAGGTCATTAATGTAAATGAGAAAGAGGAGAGGGCAAAGTATGCTGCCCTGTGGAACACCATTGTTGATGGGTAGGGTGGGAGAAATGAAATTATTCACAGAAACATACTGGACCCTGTCAATAAGGTAAGACTGAAAGTATTGGAGGGAGTGACCTCTAACTCCATAATGATGTAATTTAAGAAGAAGGTTTTGGTGGTTGACAGTGTCAAAATTACGCGTTTGGGGGGTCGACAGTTGGATGGAATGGACTTGGTCTGAGGATGGATTGCGTGTCTGAGGTCTTCAGCCGTACATATGGGTATTTGAAGCCTTAACTGATACCATGTTCCTCGGTCATCGTCAAAAGTTGCCTTTGAATGGATGCCAAAACTACCTAATTATTTATAAATTAGCATTTTGAGGTCTGTTGGGGCAAAAATAGTGAATGCATTTAACACTGCAAACACCACTGTGTTGAAGGAGTTCCACTCACACCTTGAAATCTGGGCAAGATAAAGCACACGAAATAAAGAGTCAATATGCATAGCAGCACCTAGGCAAAAGCCGGGCCCAGCAGCTAATTCAACACAAAGAGAAATAGGTAATCACACACATAAATGCACAAAAAAATACATCACATATTGCTATACATTCACAAACAAATAACCTAATATACTGAAAAATCTAAATAAGTATCACACGAAAGATAAAAACACGTCTAAACCTTTCCTAAAACACGCAACAAGTACTTGCGAGGTAGGGAGTGACGTCACGAAGCCAAACACGTGTACCTGTGCCGTCATGGAAGTAAACAATGGAGTTGGAGGACTGGCACTAGTGAAGGCTACACGCCAGGCGTCCGTGACCACCTCGGCCTGGCCATGTCTTCCTTTCCTTACTTATACAATACTGAGAAGATTAAAGAGCTTATAGTGCAGATTTGGTTTGATTAATTATGAATATAAAACAATGGTAAATTGTTTTTTAATATTACCGAGAAGCAATTACTATTTTTGTCGATATCAAGGGAAATGAGTAAATGTTTTGTAAACTATTTAGTTTACATTAAAATAATTTTGTTTGTATTATCAACCGAAACATATAACACATACTAATCCGTTTTTCACAAGTTATTTTCATAATAATAATTGATAACCATCATAGTTCAATACATTTTTGTTAGTCTGTGTTCTACCATAAGCGAGGAAATTCATTTACAACGCTAACCAGTATACATACACTTTCTTCTCTCATCAATAGGCCGGGCTAGTGAATTAGACAACACACAGTGTTCTGAGTTCTTGAACACTCAACTACAGAAGGTGAATGAGGTACATTTACTATGTTAACTAGCATACATGAATATTCTCGTCCGTCTTGCATGAACAGGGATAGATATCTCTTCTCGTACATATTGAACAGAGGATTATTGAGCACGTAATGTTTCACAAAGGATTATTGAGCACTTAACCATGGGTGGTTCACGGCCTTTTACAATGATAATCATTATACAAACATTTCCGCCTGTCTTGCGTGGACAAGGTAAGAGAGCTACCACAGAACAGTGAGTTATCGAGCACTGGACCACAGAACAGTGAGTTAATGAGCACTGGACCACTGAACAGTGATCGAAGTTAAAGACTTGGTCAGTGATGGAACGTTATTGACACGGTTACTCAATGATAAGTTTAAAATCACAGTCACATTTCCTCTGATACCAGAAAAAAGTCCCAGCCTTCTTCTATCTAATCAAAAAATAAACAGTTATACTTGCAGAGAAAATAGCAACCTAAGAATGTAGATTTCCAGTGAATAGAAGGAGCTATTCAGCTAATGTTCATGGATGTTAATGCGTCATATATATTATATTATATATATTATTCAGTCGAAGAAAATTCTGCATGGAAAAACCCTCAGCTCAGTGACAGATGTAACAGTGATTACAGAGAGATAACGACATAATTTTGTTAAGGACAGCTTCGTAAAAGTTATTGGTTATTTAACTTTCAAAATATATATATAAGTCTATAAGAACGTGTGGATGTCCATTCGCTTGTCTGCTCAAAGATGAAGGCTAAACGCTTTGGACCAGCCTCTCCTTCGTTTACAGAGGGAATGGGTTGGGGTACGGGGCAGACATAGGTTGGTCGGGGGGAGGCCTGAGTTAAATGCGTTAAGAAATATTAGCAATAATAAACACACCACTGTAATTTTCATGAAGTCATGTGTGAAATATGTAGAGTGATTCCCCTAGAGTGTTTAGTGATCTTAATAATATATATTCTATGTATCACTACCTTCTGTCTTAAAGTCATGAGAGATCCTACATCTCCTACATTGCTCAGAGACAAATTATTTAGTGCTGTTAACACCCTTTTGACTGGTGCCGACATACCAACTCACTCCTTTTATGATAATTGGCTGAGAAACAATGCTTACAATCTCATTAAACTTAACATTCCTTTTAAGTGCAATCTACCAGTCTCTGATATTCCTCTTTATCTGTACCCCACCATTCAAGTATCATACACACCTGTCACCAAGAAAGATAATGAGAATCTTGCTCTACTCAAAGCTGTCACTCTTGAAACAATTGCCTCCTCCATCGAGAGTCTAAGATCTCACGAGCACTGTGTCTACACCGACGGCTCAGTCCAGTCTTCTACTGGACGGACTGCAGCGGCATGTAGGTTTTATAGAAATAATATCTGCACAAAGTCTGTCAGTGTCAGGTTAAACAACTGGCTGACCTCCACACAAGCAGAACTAGCAGCATTACATTTAGCAACCAGCACATTAAAAAATATTGGAGGAGGAATAATATTCTGCGATTCAAAGTCTGCTCTTCAAGCAA